CCAATACAGCCGACGCATTCCGAACGCTGGTCTCAGGATGATTGTCAAAATGTTGTAAAATACGATTCCCTGCCTGCAAATCTCTTCGTAACGCTGCTTGAAATCGGTTGTTTTCTTGTCGAATTGAAAATGATCCAGTCTCTCGCAATCTATTAAATGTCAACATAAACACTCTTCGGTTTGGCACTCTTCTGTTTGGAAATCGTCGTGCATATTCTCGCACCGCCTTTAAAGCATTACCGTTGCAGAAACCGTATACAAAAACCATATCAGCATATTCACTATTAGAATACGTACGCGGCATATTGCAAAAGACAAAATTCATCTACTGTTAAAGGCTTTCAAAGAGCGACTGACAAATTCATAACAGAAAGTGGAAAATGTAATCAAATATGTCGGTGCTAGATATGGCAAGAAATGTAAACATTTTTTTTCGATTTCTCTGAAACGGAGCAAAAACGAGCATATGTCTATAGGACTTTTTTTCTTAGTTTTTTACTCCTCTACACGCTCCCGAAGTTTTGCCATTTAATTTGGAAACACCCTGTATATATAGACAGCTATTTAACGCTAATATAATGTAATTAATAAACCATGATTTATTTTTAATCATAAAAACGATTAGCCTTGTAATTTTTATTTTTCGATATATATTATTATTATTTTACACACATTAAAGAAGAAATACTTATTTCATTGTTACATATAAATGATAGACAGCAAGTAAAATTAGAAAAACTGCCACATCGACATTATCTGCTGGGTTGTTGAATCCAATATCCCCAAGTAGCGAAATATTCGTCATTCTCTTCCTGCGTTGGACCGCGAAACACCTTTATTTTGACCCGCGGAACATCATCTGCAAACAAGTAGTAACTGCACAGTTTTTTGATAGCGTTATTCGAATACCGCGATATTATTATCTTACATTTTCTTTCTCTGTAATTCGAATTACTTCTGCATGAAGATTACGAGAGCAGTATAAATTTAAATGTTTCCGTAGTTACAAATAATTATCGATAATGATATCGTCTGCTGTATTACCTTTTTTTAAAGCTAAATGACGCATTGCACTGCTTGACTCATTGCAGCTAACCATCGTAAATATCGCTACATCAAGCAGACAAAGTACAACAAGAATGCACTGTAAGAAAATATTGATTCTTTGATTATTTAATCGAATATTTTTCTATCGCGTAATATTGCGCAACGAAGTCTAGCTGGATAGAACGCAAATCTATAAATATATTTCACTAGATTACAGTCTGACTCACCGTCAATCTCATCGTGATTGTGGAGCTAACTGTAATAAATTTCTGGCTCAAAGACTGGAATTTTATATGCTACAGCATCCGTGGCATCTAGAGCATGACCGATCCCGATTTTCCATCTCGCGGTTTGAGGGACCGTTTCTCTAGAGAGAAAGCCGTATTGTCCTGCAAAGGTGAAGGTGACACGTCACAAAGACGGTGACAAGAACGCAACGTTACTTCTTTTTTTATAGGCTTTTTACTTGGGCGATTTGTTCGTAACACTGAGCGAATTCGTCATCACGTTGTAAAGACATGTTTAACAGACATAGATATTTCCAAACAATCGCGTTACGATTGTCGATCTGGTTCGCCTCCGATAAAGCCGCTTCGGCTTCCGTGAATCGTTGCAGCTGAGGCAATTTTCATATGTAAAAGCGATTTTTGCGTGTGGAAGAATAATTTTGACATAGAAGTTTTTATTAAAAATTGTTCTTTCTTTTTAACTTTATTTAATTCACCTCAAAAAAGGCGATTCCTGCGCCAAGCCACGTTTCTGCCGTCGGTGAAGTTCTGCATGCGGTGAGGAATACTTTTAATCCACATTCGTAATCACCGGCGTTTTCGTAATACAGTCCCATTCTAATATCGTAATGTTGTTATAAATAAATCGATTCTACTTTTTTCCCTCTCAATCGTTTCGTCCAATATCGAGACAAATGATTTTACCTTGTTTGCACGAGATGCAAATCATCCGGCCTGTTGAACATTGAATTAGCGAACTCGTAGTAATGAATGGCATCTGCGAAATTACCCTCTTGAAAATGACAGTGTCCCATTAAACTATCTATAGAGTAATCCTGAGCAGAAGGAACATATTTGAGATTTCAATATGATACAGGCAAATTAATTTTGTACGATATTTATATAATTAATCAGTTAGAGACATAATGAATTATATCTTTTTTAATTAATTATTTAGTAATCAGTTATTAATCATTATAGAATTATCTTTATATAATTATATAATTAATTTTACACATTTAATAATATTAGATAATTAATCTATTTATTTAAAGTTATCTATATTTATCTCTTATCTAAGTATTTAATTTACATTTTGCAGTTCGTAATTGAGAAACTATAATTGTGGTCGATGTATTTAAGTATTTAATAATAATGCAAATGGCAAATGCAAACGAACCAGTCCATAAATACTTTTGGCTTCTTTCAAGTGCAATAAAGCTTCTTCGTATTGCTTCGATAAGTAACATCGCACGGCTAAATAATATAGAACATGGGTGGATCTACCTGCTCGAGACATTTCTTTCTCCAACGCTAAGTCAGCAAACTACACAAACGCAAATCATGACAGCATAATTTGCACGTTCTTACGTAAGATGTATTTTAAATGCAGACATATTACGTCGCAGAAATGCAGTTTTAGTAGGAGTGTGGCTGTTATCATAAACACGTTGTCTCGTGGACAGTGAATCATTGTCCAAGCGAGAGGATCTTTGCTCGAGATCTCCGTCTCTTTTTTATCCGCGTCGAGATCTCCGTTTCTCATGCATTCTTCAGCTATTCGTAACGCAAAATCTATTCCTGTTAAAAAAAAATTTTTCTCATACATTCTAATCTTATCTTTGCCTAACACGGAGATATCAAGGCCTGAGCGATAGAAGATGCTATAATGAGAAATACATAAAGAAAAGTCTATATAAAGAAGATTATGAAGACCGGTATTCACACCTCGCGCAAAATAGATCGCTTTTCATCATTTTTTTTACATTTTTAGACATTTCTTCAAGTTTTTCTCGATATAGCACCTTCTCAGGCGTCGATATGAGTTGTTATACCTGGGCTGTAATTTGTGCGGGTGTAAAAAAGATGTAAGATAATCCATCCTTCAACAAATCGAGGATAAAAATCAGTAACAGCTCTCAGAAAGATTTCTGCTTCTCGATAACTTTGATCTTCCGCGAGAATCAATCCGAACGTCAATAAACTTCGGAGAAAAACATTTATTATATGAAATTATTTAAGAATCTATCGCGTCTTCCTTCCTTCCTGAGTTCAATTAGAAAAGTACACTTGCGTATTTATATTTTTACATACGCGAATTTATCTCGTTTGTTCAAAAGAATCGCTTCACGGCAACTCTCCCTTGCGCGCTCTGCATCGCTAATTTTTAAGAGAAAAATTGCATATTTGGTCCACGCTTCGGCATCATTTTTATCTGCCGCGATTGCCTGTGAAAAAGATTATGAGTATAATAACACATTCAATATGACATTTTCTTAATACAGATGATTGAATTATGTACAGCCTGATAATGTCGTCTTGCATCATCTACATGACCTAATTCGTAAGCCTCTTCAGCGTAGAAGAATAATTTTTTAGGTATTGCAATGCTCGGCGAATCGTCGTCCTCAAGGCGGCTTTCAACGATCTTGTTAATGGCCAGATGCATTTGTTCGACAAGATATGTGTATACAGATGCTACAAAATTCTGCACATAAATCGTAGCTCGCCAGAGCTTTTAGTTATTTTCAATTATGTCTAAATAAATTTCTGAATATAAATCCATAATATATTTGAAAGATGCGTACGTTTCATATAATATATAATAATAATAATTTTTAAATAATAAATATATTTTTAGACCTGGCTGTCAATGGAGTGTACGGTATTCAGGTTTGTCTTGAATTTTTGATCCAGCAACGTGATCACTTTTAGCTTCAAAGTACTGCGTATGTTTAAGTACGTGCCAGTTTTATATAGATATTGTGTAAAACAAGTTAGCTCATCCTGAAAATTATTGTAACAAGCATTGAACATTATTGTAACACGAACGCGCAACGCAATAATTCCTCGTATCTCACTGTAGGAATTAATTTTACCTCTTCAGGAGCGAAACAGTACTTCGTTTTATCCACCTTTTCAGAATCACCTTCCTGATCTTTTAATGCGGATAACGTTTCCCGCTTTTTTTCGTCACGAAAATCCTAGTACAAAATATATATTTCTGATATAACCAATATGACAATATATTTCAATTTATGATATTAAATTATATTTTACGTAAGAATTTTATTTATTGATACCCTGTAGCTTTCCGTAATAATCTCCACTATTTTCCGAATACAAGTTGCGTATTGCTGCTCCGCTAAATCGAGAGAATAAACGTAATGCGACTTAGTTACTTTCGGCTTCATCATCTCCTCGATTCTAATAAAATTAATTATTCAAGATAAATTTTGGTATAATTTTTAATAACTAAACACTATGGTACTTTTTATTGTGATGATTATGAACTTACATGTCTGAAAAGTCATTTTCAAGTCTACAGGGGACAAGTGGATAAAAAAGCTCGACCTCGATTATGACAAACACAGGTTCGCCAGTCTCCGAAATTAACGGGGTACTTTGTGTTATTTCGATACCCATCTGAATCAAATATTCGAAATCCAATTTGAAGAAACCCTTTTAATTAATGCTGATTTTTTTAAGTATTGCATATACGGAATGTTACAAATACTAAATGAATTTGCATGAAATTCTAAATATTGTATATATATCATGTCAACCTTCTTTGATTCTGTATAGAAAATATCTTTTTCCAAACCAGTCTTCTCAGCTATACTCGATGCATCATACGTGTACAATTGCGCAATTACATGAGTGCTTTTTACTGCAGAAAATGTTTATAAAGGAGAAAATATTAAGCTTTTCAATAACAATATGATTATTTATCATGTATTAAAATGAATTTGTTCGCGCTTACTTCCCGGAAAAACAAGCTCTGATAAATCGACGTAACACTGAAAAAGTTGACATTTACTCAATTCTTCTTCGTTTTGTTTAAGGTTGCTCTTTTCCGCACTCTTTTTGCTTACCATAAATTTAAATGGCCAATATTTATACCTTTAAATATAATTATGATATTTAACATGAATTCTTCGATCTTTATACGAGAGAGATTTTAATGGACATGTACTTGACAAGATGCTTCTTCATCATTTCGCTTCCCACATCACGCAATATGCTGCGATTCATAAAGTTCCACTCGATTCTAGGTTCGTCTTGACATATTTTCTTCTGCAAATTACGCATTATTCCGCGCTTTATCGTACAGTTTTAGATCAAATTGCAAAATGTCGTGTCTACCTGTAAGTCGAATTCTACGTCGAGCATATTTTTTATATGTGCGTAATCGTAGTCGAGTTTCCACTTCGACAATCTGGCGCGACTCTTTAACTTTGATAAGCTTCGCCATCGTTTGGTTCTTTCTAAATCGCGGTATTTTGTCCATTTACCGTCTTCGAATATTACATTTTCCGGAAGCTGCGATAAAGAGTATCGGTTTTGTTTATACAATTGTGATTAATTTTATTTTGCATAAATATTTTTGTTTTATCGAATTAACACAGAAAATTCATCTAAAACTCTGTTAATCCGAATCTAAATCTAAAAAAAATAAATTTTAATTGACTTATATTATATATGTATAATCCAATTTATATAGAAATGCAATCCTCTAAATTACATGTATTTTTTTTAACATTGCAGTCACATTCTTAGAACTCTGATACTCACATTTATCTTTATAGACATGATATACGAGTCAATTCTAAGAATCCTTCCTATTCACGTTTTATTGCCTACTCCACATGCAGTTCGTCATTTTTATAAAACTATTCTTTCTTTCGTTTTTAAAATCTTTATATACAGGGTAGGTCATTTTAATCAATACACTCGAATATCTCGTTTGGTAAGCAAGATAGCGAAAAATGTTTCAGACCAAAGTTATATGGCTTTGAGGGGAACATAAGATGGTATCATTAGTTTGACCTTGAATAGTTGCTTGAAGATCACATGAAGGTTATTTTTCTAAAACTGGTTACTGGTCTAAAACATTTTTCACTATTTTGTTTACCTGACGAGATATTCGCGTGTATTGATTAAAATGGCCTATCCTGTATAATATGAGAAATGCAAAGAACAGTATATTATCATCAAAATATTATTATCAGTTTTTTTTTAATTTAATATATTATATTATACAAGAAAAGTAAAGAAAGAATGTTTTTAAATAAAATAAATTGATCTAAAAATTATAACTAAAATTTCTATTGTCGTTGGCTAAATAATTATTGAAAACAATAAGATACCTCATTGTCAACATATATTATCGTGCCTCCTTTATAATCCGCATCTTCGGTAAAAAAAATCGGTGGATTGTAGATACTTTCCACTGTAACACTCAGGAAATTAATTTCTGCTTGAGAAGGAAATATCTCTCCTCCATCGTATATTACTGTCGCGTTTAACAAAGGAAGATTTTGCCACGAGACCGCATTGCCATCAAACGAAAGATGTGGCATTTGCACTATTAATCTTTCAACGAGCAATTTTTCACCTGGTGGTCAAGGTTGTTAGAATTATTTTAAGTGCAGTATCTCGACTTCGCTTTCTCCATGTCGACGTGATAAATCGTTACCTAGCAATATCGGCATTAGATCGAGAGTGCAAAAACCAATTACGTTTGTTGATATTTGCTGTGGAAAGATCACTGCTACTTTCTGCTTGGATTCCGTAACTGATCTGCCGGAATCAGACATATGTTGATCTTGGACATCACTTATTACCTTTACTGCAATGATTTATCGCAATCGGAATAATTATTAACTTACTATACGATACAATTATGAATTATTTATTGATATGCATGCAAATGCGTCGTTATGTGGAAGAGCTTAAGTTCTTTACTTAAAATCGGCGTTGATACGATTCGATCCATGCTATTGCGATCATTAACTATAAATAAAAATTCGACCCCGAAATTGACGTCATAAATTTGTGGCGGTTCCTTGAAACCCGGATCGATAATGAGAGGAGTACTTTCTCCGAGCACTACGTCATTATGTATCACGATAAACGATATGCCAGTCTCTTCTTTCACCGTCTGTCTTACAAACAAATTTTCTCATGATTATGCCATAGTTGAATAATACGAAAAAAAACTTACAATGTTTTCAATGGAATCTACAACTATTTTTATGGTCCTTTTAATTGGTTCATCTTGAATCAAAGATTCTTCCATTTTTATATATGGAGGTATTTGGATATAATATTGAAAATATATTTTTCTGATGATTTTTTTAAACGATGAAAGAGCTTAACATTTTGATATTGTGAGTTTAATAAAATAACCTTCATGTACTTTAATAATAATGAAGACGATAGTCGCGATTTTATTTTCAATTGTTTACTGATGCTGACTTCGAGTCAAGGAATCGTTTTATTTTGAATAATGTAGGTAAAATACATTTTCTGAATCATGATATCATGCATTAAAATTTCGTCGTGAATAAAAAGGTCAATCTAGTATAACAATAGTAATTTTATTTATCAATAGTATGTGTATGTGCCTTCAATAATAAGCAGATATTTTCGTATAAAACGATATATATATGCATATAAATTATTATTTATATAAATATGAGTTAATTTCTGATATACGATGTTAAAGGTCAGTTTATATATCGGAGTCGAATAATTGAACGAACTCTTTCTATATAATTTTTTTCATAAACATATTCTAAACTTTCAGCACCTGACGTTCGTGTTCTATAAAATTTATAGACGCTCTCTGATATATTTTTTCTCTTATATTTCCGAGAGTCCAAAATACATTAGAGAGTAACAATCGAATTTACAACAAAAAAATATATAGAATTAACGAATCTAAACTTTCGGCTCACGAAAGCATTAGCGATTCTGAAACAGATTCATTGCCATCAGCAATGAATTCCTTTCTTCAGGAAAATTTCTGTATATATATTTTTTCTCTTCCTGCAACTCGTTAATGTAGAGTTGGTGAAGACAATAGCGAGACAACGTTTACTCTTTTCGAAACACGTGAAAATTTACGTCACGTCGACGATACTTCACGAACACTACAATGTAATTGAGCTACAATTGCGTAATTTATGATCACCGACGTGAAGGCACTACAGTTCTCCAAATGTATTTGCGCCGAAGCGCATCCTTTATACAATCATATAAAAAATTATTATACATGCGTATATGTATTAAAGTTACAAGTATCAAAACTTCGTCGCGCGATAAATTCGTCGATGAAAAAACAAGATCGAAGTTCTGACATGACGATGGGGGACGCTCCTCGGGTTTTTCTTGTACCTTCCTTGATTCCTGATCTCCTAAGTCACATCTCTCGCTCCATTTAATTTCGAGGAGGTAAATATACAGTGCGGAGGAGAGAAAAGCTATTTATATGACTACTTGTCGACATCTTTTTCGGCGTATACGTTGTAGAAAATTCATGTCTGTGCCGTAAATTGGCTTCTAATGGATCGTAAAAACATCCTGCGTGATAAACAGTCTTTTGAGATAGTTCGAGCAACGGTAAGACGGCTATATTACATCGAATGCAGATTTAATCGAATGTTCAACTATAGGGTCTTCATAGTTTTATCGATGTGTCTCAACGTCGTTTCGGGCACCGCGTCTGTCAACGCTTTACGAAAGCCTTCGCAGCGAGTCAGTCGCCGAAACATTCTTTTTGCATGATTCCTGGAAATTCAAGTCATTACGATCATAATTACAATGCTACATTGAAAAAAATATTTACTAAGTTTTAATAAATCATTTGTTTGAGTAGTAACTAAATATTCATTAAATATAAAGGTACATGTATTTATTTGATATAAGAATTGCCATTAATTTGATATAACTCATCATTTTTTTATTGCAAGTAAATATTTATTTACTGTAAGGTAAATATTTAGTTAGGTACTATTCGAATAAATATTTATTAAAATTGAGTGCATTTTTCCTTAATGTATCGATTTCAGGGACACGAGAATGTATATCACAATATGAGACTAATTGTAAATTCACTCACCTTGCGTCTAGATTTCCATCCATCAACAACTTTGCGCCCGTGTTTAGCAACTTGTCCCTCACGTCGCGCGGTAAAATCATAATATGATCAGGTCCAATGCGATCGGTGATATCCGACAACAGTCGTGCGGTCGCCGCGCGAACGATGGCGTTTTGATGACTGAAAAATTTTAATCAAAATCTAGAGATCAGCTTCGTCGCACGGAAAAACGTTCCTCAATCACAATTGGAAACTGCGGACTTACCTGGCTCCTCGAAGTACCATGATACCGATGGTTTTATGAGGCGGAAGATACTGCACCATCTGATCCAGCGCTGCGTTACTGTCCGATCGAAGAAATCGATTCGTATCGGCTGTTCTATGAAGCAACGGTCCAGCTATGTCGTCCAGATCCTACGAGCAAAAAATAAATAAGGCGTTCGATAAAATATAAAAATGTTTGAATTTCTATGCCTTTATGCGGAACGACATATGCTTGACGTCTACCTGATCGATACCCCGTATCTGAGAACTGAAAACATCACCGGCAGCGAGACATGCGGCCCGTGCCACTTGCGATCGAAGATTCTTTATGTGTCGCCCTAAAAGTCTTCCTATCGTTCCGACCGCACAGACGTCCAAGCCCTCCGGATGTTGCTTCGAGATCTGTGACAGGGCTTTCAGACCTTTCATCGTTATTTCCCTAAAACGCAGGATATAAACACCGAATGAATTATTTAGACAACGAATGACAATGATTTACATGTTATACGATTGTGCTGATATCGATATAGATTTTACAAAGTCGACACGTACCAGTCTTTATTTTCAAGTTGTGAAAAGCACTGCTGTACCATCCGTTTGGATTTTTCTGAGGGCTTCTCCATAACTCTCTTGTTGGAAGGCATTCGACACCTACTAAGACCGCGTACCGGTACTTTCGAGGGCATTCTTCTACGCGATTCGACATCATCCGTAGGTTCAGACTACAAGAGAGTTCCAGAAGCGTTAATTTTGTGTGTGTGTGTGTGTGTGTGTGTGTGTGTGTGTGTGTGTGTGTGTGTGTGTGTGTGTATGTGTGTGTGTGTGTCCATTCACGGAAAGATCGATTTTGCTAAAATATTTAAAAATTTAGGTAAATATAGATCAGAAAATAATTTGGACTATAAAAATAATTACATATGTAAAAAACTCAAGCATGGATGAGCAATACTAAAAAAGTTTTGACATTCTAATAAAATCAGTTTGAGCGTTTTACATAATTATTTTGATAGTCTAACAAAAAAAATTTATTTTCTGTACCTATTTAAATTTTTAGATACTTCAGCAAAACCGTTCTTTCCATGTTAAAATTCTATTCTATAAAGAAATGTCTCTTTGCCATATATATCATACCTCGATCTTCAATATTCCGGGCTCCATATTTGTTTCGCTCGCACTGTCTTTACTTTGTCTGTCCTCCAAAGCATCGTTCACGCTGGATTCTTCTTCCGTGGACTAGAATCATAATTATATCTCAGTCAAGCTCTTCAATAGGCAGTTTGATCGTATAAAAACATCTTACCTCCTGAGTATTAATCTTATTATGTGGATTATCATTTTCGACGCTTCTCGCGTTCTCGTACTCGACGGTTTCGTGAGAATGAGGCCTCGATGCGATGATAATTGCCGGTGAATCACCGACCATACTGATATCTATGGATTGGTGACCAACGGTGTCCAATGATCGAATGGAAGCATCCTCGTCAGGTACTATGGAAGCGATTATTCTCTCCTCACTAAAATCCCTGGGATCCTCGATCTGACATTCGGAAGATCAAACGTTAAATAAAATACGCCGTCGAGGAAATTTAATATATATTAAAAGGAATTTATATTAATTTGATTTAATACACACACACACAATTTAAAATACGCGATGATCACGCCTGAATTTTACTTGTAATTATTATCAATGGCATATGAAAAAGAAATGTAATTTCTCACATATATTTAATTTTCTGTGATTTATATTGTCTACTGACCAAATTGCGCGAACCGCAGCGAGAATTTCGCGTGGTCGGCGAGCTAGAGATTGGCGAATGGTGGGCACTGTGATTAGGCGTCAGGTACAGCGATTCTGATCTCTTAGGACTGATTGTGACCTTCGATTGTAGCGATTCCTTGAATATCTTCGTGTCTTCGTAGGGTAGAATCAGCTCGTTTGATAACGTGGACACGACCGACCTTCTTCGCGCGCTCGACCTATCGTCCTCCGGCTGTTCGGGAACGCCGGAGCTACTTTCTGTGCTTCTATTGCAATTTTCATCCACGGTGATTAGCTCGTTGTGATTCGAATGCCTGGAAATCGATCCGATTCGACTCGCCGGTTTCATGTCATCCTCGCTGCTCCATTCTTTCGATACCTCGTCCACGGTCAATGCGTCTGCCGTCGTGATTGGGTATTCCATTTTGTTGGTATCCAACGGCGTCTAAAATTTTTCAAAAAAGTTATTCGTGGGATCATACAATGTCGAATTATTTCAACTCACATTTGTAGAAAGAACAAAAATATCTGATAAAAATAATAATATCTGAACTCGCGTTCAGTGACATCTCCCCGTATTAAATATATTTCAATAGCGATGGCATTTTTCTTCAGACATAATGTTATTGTATAAACTTCACTTTACATCTATATTTCACGCTCTATAATTCACGATAGAATTCGAAACAGAATTCTATTTATAATTTTATGTATCAAATGATAAATACAATTATAGATGAGAAAATTTTCTTTTATTACAAGAAAAAAATACGACATTGAATACGTAGGTTAAATTGTAATTTATGTCACTTATATATAGACAAGGTTTGCTTGTCTATTAGATTGGACACGACTCTATTCACAGCTCTTATAGATTTTCAATTTTCTTTACACCAAATGTAAAGATTCAATTTTCTTTACACCATGCAATTGACCAATCACGAGTATTTATTCTGTACATTGTACATATAATATTTGATGCGTCTTTTATATTTATAAAAATGGAGCATTATGGACTGTGTTCCAAAATTTACTGTCAATGCTAAAAATCTGTAATTGACGTTACATGTACTATACGTTTTGAATATTGTATAAGGCAGTCAATTTTAAAACATAGCCATCGTTATAAATGTATAATTCTAATTATTCATATATTTTCTGTATTATACGA